CATCCTGTAGTTTCCATTAACAGTTTCCTTGCCTCCCCTTGCCTGAGCACTAAGCCAATACCAAAATTTTAGGTTTCTGTTCTGGGGGCATCCTTCTTTTGCTACTAATTTCTATATTAACCAGGTAGGCTGGGTTATGCTGCAGTAACTAAAAAAAAAAAAATTCTTGGTTGTTTATTTTATTTTATTTTTTTTTTGTGACCAGTAAAGGGATCGCAACCCTTGGCTTGGTGTCGCTCACACCAGGCTCAGCCAGTGAGTGCACCAGCCATCCCTATATAGGATCCGAACCTGAGGTGGGAGTGCCACTGCGCTCCCAAGCGCTGCACTCTCCCGAGTGCACCACGGGGCCGGCCCTCTCGGTTGCTTATAAAAACAAACTTTGTAGTTCTTGCTTACGCTCCATTCCCCAAGTGGCGTGGCATGGGTCTCTGATCACTGTTCTTACACTCGGGGAGCCAGGCTGAAGGAAGCTCTGTCTCAATGTGCTTTCATGCTTCCCAAGGCAGGAAAAAGCATATGGCCACCCATGAAGTGGCCCGTAAAGGCTTCTGCATTGGAAAGGAATGTATCACTTCTGCTCATATTTCACTGGCCAAAGCAAGTTGTATGACCATGCCTAATTTTAGGGGGAGGGATGAAGAAGTGTAATTCTGTCATGTTCCTGGAAGGATGAAAATCAGAATATTTGTAAGAAGCCCTATTGATTCCCACCATGGCAATACCGTGGCCTGAGGAAATGATTGCTGGCGGTTGTAGAGCTATTTAGAACCATGGCACACTGCCTGTGTATGTGTGACACCAGCCCTGCCCCACACTGTTGCAGGCAGTAAACATGACGCCTTTCTCCACATGGCTTTCATTACAACTTCATTTCATTAGGAAATCAGTGGGGGTATTCTGTGGCATTACAGAAGTGCCAGGAATGAGACCCACCAAGTTGCTTACAAACTCAGCAATGCTTCCTTCCAATATTCATCAAGGAAAAATAAACTCATAGTGTGTTCTCATTTCCCTTTTTATTTCCTGGGACTTTGGACAAGAAACATCGTTCAAGATTCTGTGATGATAATAGGAGGAAAAACAATGTCAAGAATAAGGACTTTTGAGGATTTTCCTTTTGGTAGCATTGACATGATACATTGTTAATGTTACTTTCTTTTTCTGGAATAATCACCCACATTAAATTCAACCGAGAGTGGGAGCAGGTAGCAGAGGTTATGCTGGAATTTGGGTAAATGATCTTCTTTTTAGACTCAGCATAATCCCAAGAGGTAATAACACTTTAGGGAAATTAATTATTAAACACGTATTTTTTTCTCTTTTGCAAGGGAGAGAGAGTCGTAGGGGGCTATGAAGAGAAGTTGAGCTTCTTCAGCTGAAGAATACGTAAGAGGACCCAGATGAAATATTCCGTTTAAAATGAATCCCAGAATTTTTGGATTGGGTTGGTAATAATATTTTAAAAATATGAATAGTTAGTGGAAAATAGTCCTTTAGGAGGAAAAAGGCACATGGAGATGCCTTGGTGTAAGAGAAAGAATTATGCTTGACTTTGTGGACAATTACGAGTTCAAATGTCAGTTTCACAAAATGCCTGACTGACTGTGCGACCCTGAGCAAGTGCTGCAAGTCTTTAAGCCTAAAGTCCTCACTGTAATATGGGAGAAACAAACCTTCTTACAGGACAGACATGAAGAATACAGGAGTGAATGAGTAAAAATGCTCAGCTCGGTGGCCAGCACACAGTAGGTGCTCCATAAACGCTGGTTCATCACCTGCTTCCCAAAGTAAAGACAATTAAGGGAGCAAGTGCAGAGTCCTGTCCAGAAATGGACCCCAGGGTTTGAGAAGATGAGAGCCCATCTCAGGAAAAGTGAAGCGAGGACACTGCTGGAGAACGTCCAACATTTCCAAGTACTCACATAACTCCTCACCTCAGATTTTTATGGCTCCATTTTTCTCTTCTTTCTCTCTTCTTGTACTTCTGTTTATTTGCTCCTTTCCTTTCTAATTATCTCCTCTTCCTTTTTTGGTGGATTTTTCCAGTCTCTGGATTTTATCTTCTCTCTTTTCTTCTGTTATCTTTTTCTTCTTCATATTGTTCCATCACTTTGTTGCCTCCAATCTATATTTTTCTTTCTCCCCCATTTCATCTTTCCTCCTTTCTAAGTTGTTTAGCACAGGCGACCTGGAGGCGAGTCTACAAAACTGTGCTGGCTATGTCTCAGTGCCTCTCTGTCCCCACTTTCTGTAGCTCTCCTCGGTTTGCCCTGACAGCTTCTGTGGAACCCTTTCCTTGTGCCACCCACTTCTGCCCCCTGGGCTACAGCAATCTGCTTCTCCTATTAAATGTGCTCTTAGAAATGGATCTGATCAACTCAGAGACACAGGTGTAAATAACTCATAAATTTTGGTGCTTTACTTTTCCCACGGGTTCTAGAACTTCAATCAGATACAAAACCTTTGGCCCAAGAAATAAATCTCTAATAATAATTTCAGGCAATAGAAAGTGATGGAGTATGTCTTCCTATGGGCAGGAGACTTTCCCTGCCAAACATACCTATTCACAGTACTTGTTCTGCTTTGATATTTTAGAATAAAATAAAATAAAAGAGTCAGATAAAGCTAGAGTTAGATTTAGCTACCTTCTGGTACATGGAAGTGTTTCAATCTAATCAGTTGGAGCTAAAAATTATTTAATTCTAAAGGGATTGTGTGCAGCAGATGCAACAATTTATTTCAGGTAAATCAGCTTTATCTGGCTTTTTCATTCTTTTTGTACTATATCAATTTTAATGTAATTTGCAAAGGGATATGAGCTCCATTACATGTGTTTGCAAAGCATGAATCAATCTAGCCAAGGGGCCTCATGCACCATGACAGTGCTCTGGCAGCATGGTGGGGATTGCCAAGGGTCAGCCAGGTCATTCTATTCACTGCTGGCCCTGTGCTTGAGGTCTGTAAGCTTCTCAAGGGCTTATAAAAATATGTACCCCTTAAAATTTCTGTTTCTGAAGTATAAAAAATAAGAGCTAATAAATGTAGAATTGAATATCAATAAATTAAAACATTCGATTAACTGTTTACTGCTCAATTTTAAGTCTTTATATATATATATATATACACACACACATCGTATTTCATGTGGGAGGTGAATCTGTTTTAGTATGTTTGATGTGATGTGAAAAATAAGAGTTAATAAATGTAGAATTGAATATCAATAAATTAAAACATTCGATTAACTGTTTACTGCTCAATTTTAAGTCTTTATATATATATACACACACACACATCGTATTTCATGTGGGAGGTGAATCTGTTTTAGTATGTTTGATGTGATGTGGGATGGGTCTTCCATGAGTAAGAGGGCACAGGGTCACTCAAGGTCTTAGAATGGTCCTGAGTGTTAGAGATTTGAAAATCTGGAGCAAAGTGGAAGAACACAGTACTGTTTCTCCAGAGTAGCATGAGTCTGTAGGCACAAAGTAGAGGCTCTAGTTCAGGCACGAGACACTGCATCTTGCTTGCCCCCATCCAGCTACCTTAGGAGGAAGCAGCTAGGCAGGAGCCCCCTGTATTACTGGAAGATGAAAAGTGGGGAAAACTTTTTATCAGAACTCCTTCTGCAAAGAAATTACTATATGTAGGTAGAAGGATGCTGTAGACTGAATTGTGTCCCACCAAAATTCATATGTTGAAGCCCTGACCCCCCATGTGACTGTATTGGAGATAGTGCTTTTAAGGAGGTGATTAAGGTTAAATGAGGTCATAGGGGTTGGAGTTCTGATCTACTAGAACTGGTGTCCTTATAAAAGAGACACCAGAGATCTCTTTCTCTTTGCAAACAGCAAGAAGGTGGCCATCTATAAGCCAGGAAGCAGACCCTTGCCAGGAACCAAATCTGCCACCATCTTGATCTTGGACTTCAAGCATTCAGAACTGCGAGAAAATAAAAGTCTGTTGTTTAAGCCGCCAGTCTGTGCTATTTTGTTATGGCAGCCTGAGCAGACTACAACAGAGGATGTTCATTGATAAGCAGCTTTGGGTGGGGTCAGGAAGCTCAGGGCAAGTTTCAGATGGTCCTCAAAATGCCTCCTAAGTCTGGCAAGCTGCAAGGTTTTTGCTTTACCAAGGTGGGTGTGCAAGTTTGGGGATGGAGTTGATCTTCCCAGGATTAAGTGCTACCGTCTATGGAGCTGCCTTTCTGCCCTTCCCCAAACAGCACTCAGCCTTCCCCTAAATACATGTCAAACTAATATTTAAAGAGCATCTGTTTGGAGGGGCACCAAATTATTAGCGACCTGCATC